AAGGACTTAGTTCCGGGGATCTTGCAGGCCATAGTACGGGGCCCCGTATTCCCATCCACTGATTCCCGAACATTTGATTCAGTTTGTTAATTGTTACCGCCGCGTTATGGGCCGGTGCGCCATCTTGTTGATAAAACTTTCTTATCGAATCGGCAAGAGGCAAGTCTTCTAAATATGGTTCTACAAAATTTTCTAAAATATTAACGTATCTTTGGGCGTTAAGGTTTTCATCATAAATAAAAGGACCAATCATTCGTTGCCCCACTATTCCAATCCAAATGTTGAAACCAAATCGTCCTTGCATGTTTCTAGGTTGGAAAACATGCTCATTATGGTCCGACCAATGATGCCGATTATGCCGATTGAATATTCCACTGCTGGTACTCTCGCTTCATCGGTCCAAATAACATTTCGTAGGAAATTTTCAGTTTCATTGCAACTCCTTATAAAGCAGTTGCAGAAGTTGATTCTGCGTTCTTGATCACCGGGAAATAATTGATGTGTGAGCCTGACTTTATAAGGTTTAAATTTATGTTTCTTGAGAATCCTTTGGGTTCGGCTTCTGCTCACACCCTTAGTTACTTCTATTTCTCTGGTGGAAACTTCAGGATTCTCTAAAACCGCTCCAATTACTCCTGCCTCTACTTCGTCTCTACCTTCAACGGCATACTGTCTAGATCTGGGCTTGACGAATGATCCATGATGCATCAGGCTAGTTTCAAATCTATCAAATATTTGGGCGCTAGGCTGCTGGCGTTCAGGGTATCGTTCGAAATATAAATTTCTTGCAGCTTCATTATTTCGGCCTGATTCAATAAAGCAAACAAACATCTGGCATTTTTCAAAGTTCTCAAACATTTTGATGCAAGCAGGTGACAGCTTTTAGATATTTCATTTATTGTCGAACTGACAGATAAACAAAACAACTCTTCCTTTCCACGGCTCACTGAGTTGAGATGTCACCAAATTGTGATTTTTGAAGAGAAATAAGTTATATCAACAGCAAGGATGACTAGAAATATATTAACATATATATTTTTGGAAAGCTTATTTTTTTTTCCGATTTTATGAAGTCGAAGCCAACTATGGTTTCTATTTGAAATAACGAAGTTGGCTGTGATATCAGACAATTAATAAGCGATTTATTTTTTTTTGACATATGCATCCTATTCTACATCATAAAGTGTCTATTCCACTTAAAAGAGTACATGAAAACAGCTCAAAGAGACCAGTGAAATGGTACAATGAGAAACTCAGGGAAATGAGGGACCTACTATCTACTGTGAAAATTATCTCTGATTCAACAAATGATCCTGCTCACAAAGAAACTTTCAGAAAGTTGAATAAAAATTATCAAAGCTCCGTCACTGAAGCTAAACGAAAAGCTTATGACACATTTTTATCGAATTCCAATAATAAAATCAAGGATAGTTGGAGATTGATTAACTACGAAAGTAATAAACAAAATAGTAACAAAATCAGTGAAAACATAAATTCTCACGAATATAATGCATTCTTTGCCACAATAGCGGAAATTATAATAGAACAATTAGTCAACGGTGACGATTATTCCAAGTTCACTTCAATCAATGATGAGTTGAAACCTAAAGAGCCTGGCTCTTTCTATTTTGAACCCATCACTTCCTCTGAAGTATTTAATGCGATTATTCAGCTTAAAAATTCCAACTGCTTTGACTCTTACGACTTGAATAGCAGGATAATCAAAGAATCCATCCAGTTTATAGTAGAGCCTCTGACTATCCTGTACAATGCCTGTATACTTGAAGGAATATTTCCTGATGAACTGAAGATCACTAAGATAATACCTATTTTTAAAAAAGGTGATATTGATAAAGTGGAGAATTATCGCCCGATATCTATCATACCTATATTTGGTAAAATATTTGAAATAATAATAAAAAATAGATTACAGATATACTTTGAAAGCAAGGATCTATTGAACAAAGATCAATATGGATTTCGAAAATCATGCTCGACCATTCAAGCAGTAACAAGAGTTGTGAGGGAGGTAGTGGAGGGTTTCGAGAAGGGGCAGCTAACTGCAGTCACTCTCTGCGACCTGACCAAAGCCTTTGACTGCGTCTCTCACGATATCCTCTTGAAAAAACTTTGTGATTACGGTATCAGAGGAATTGCACTCTCTCTCTTCCAGTCTTACCTTCATAATCGAACGCATTACGTTTGCCTCAACAGCAACGAAGCATCTGGATTTGAGGTGATGAAATCTGGAGTACCCCAAGGCTCTGTTCTGGGGCCTCTCCTTTTCATCATTTACATCAATGATTTTTTCTATCATATGTTACCAAACAAATGTGTAGTTTATGCAGATGATAGTACGCTAATATGCTCTGACAAAAACTGTCAAAACCTAATTACATCCATGAAATATGTAGAAAACCAGGCAGAAAAATGGTTCACTGGAAATCTCTTGAAACTTAACAGAGACAAAACTCAGAGTTTGATCTTCTCATCCAACAGTAAAATTAAAAAAGGTGATAAAGTAAATCTACTAGGAATCACAATAGATGATAACTTGAACTGGCGCAATCATATTGATGACTCATGTTCCAAACTTTCAAAGCATATATTTCTGCTTCGACAGTTGAGATCTATAGTAAGTTTTAAGATCCTCTTGACAGCATATTACGCATTTTTCAATTCGCATCTTAGGTATGGTATTGTTTTGTGGGGAAACTCCTCATCTTCAGATAGAGTTTTCAAGCTTCAAAAAAAAGCAGTTAGAATAATTGCCAATGCAGATTATATAGACACATGTCGTCCTATATTCAAAAATTTAGGAATAATGCCCCTTCCTACCTTATATATTTACCATTGCCTTCTTGAAATCCATGAAAATAAAAATGAATTCGATAGAAATGCTCATTTCCATGATTACAGCACTCGCAATGCTGAACTCATCAGATCCTCAAGATATAGACTACATAAATCTGCATCTAACTCTCCGAACACGAAATTGTATAACATCTTACCACAAACAGTGAAAAATCTTACAGGTCAAAAATTCAAACGATACATTGAAAATGAACTTTTAGCCAAATGTTACTATAATGATATTGAGTATATAACTAGCCCACCTGCTGCAATTGATCTTAATGTAAAATGAACCGTATTATTTGTGTCTTGGTCCTATTTTACATCTATATGTTATTGTATTTTATATCTATATATTAGTGTTTTGATGTCTTTTTATATAACAATTCATTTACAAATTATTTCTTTTATTAGATTCATACATTATTGTATTGTATTGATGTATTGACTTGCTACAAATGTATGTATTTGCATAACGTAGTCAAATAAACGCTATCTATCTATCTATCTATCTATAGAAAGTTTTCACCGTTTGGAAAAGTATCCAAAAATAAAGAAGTTATGTCAATTTTTCGAAATCAGTCAAATGTCAATTTCTGCTTATATCTCGGAAACGGTTTGAGATATCGAAATGCGGTTTTCACCAATCGAGGTTTCACGAAAGTCAAGCTCTAGAACCCTAGGTCAGTTTTTCTCTACCTGGTCTGGAAACAGGGAAAACTGCCAAAATCAAGCAATTTGGGACATCCTGTACAGGGTTGATGGTCTACCTCGTCTTGCTACAAATCTTCTCAAACACTGTAGAAACTCTCTGTTGAAAGAGATGATACTATCTCCAAATGTACTGCTCTGAAAATAGCACATGTAAAAAGGCATATCCAGACCTTCTCACCAGATCGAATATACAGAAGACCGGTCAAATCAATACCTGTTACTTCGAATGTAGAGGCATCGCGGACTCTATCTACTGGTAAAGGTGTGGGAGCTACTTCTACACGTTTACTTCTATGTATATCTTTGACAAATTGAACATTTGGAAATTACCGATCTGACAGCTCTTCTTCCACTTATGATCCAAAAACGTTCTCGCAATAGGCTGAGTAAACCCTGAACGCCAATATGAAGGTATCTATGATGTTGTTCATGAATGATCTTTTGGACTATAGGGTGTTTTGATGGTAAAATGATTGGATTACAAAAATCTTTGGTATCTTCTCGATTAGAAACTTTAGTTGAAAGACGTAATAATCCAAAATCGTCAACAATGATACAGAAATTCGTAAGCTTTGAATCAGTAATTCCATCAAATGCTTCTTCTTGAACTAATTTCATGATGCATTTTTCTGACTTATCGATTTCTTCGAGTGATAGTTTATCTTTCACTCTCTTTGAAGGATCAATCTGACGACAGTTGAAGAAAAGGAAGACAGAGGATTATGAAAATGAAACGCGGCTTAAAGAAAAAACTGAAGATTCTAATGATGCCAGAACAACTACGAGGTCTGGTAGAATAGTGAAGCCTCCATCAAGATATACTTCATAATTTGAGTTACTTCATCAAACTTCAGTCTCTCAAGGTGGGAGAATGTTGAGAAATTGAAGAAATATTTATTTCGATAGTTTTGAACATGTTGTATAATATATATATCAAGTTGACAGTAAAGAATTTTGAAAATATTTTGAGTAATGGGAACAATGGATCACGAATTGTTAGAGTGATATTCGATACTGGCTCACAAAGATCATACATTACAAGATCTATCGCTAATGAAATGGGATATGAACCAATTGGTGAAGAAAATATGGTGCATGCCCTTTTTGGTGGTTCCAAGACCGATGTTGTCCGTCATTTCTGCTATCGAATTCATATGAGCAGTATACAGGATGGTTATATTTGTAATTTTGAAGCATTAGATCAACCAATTATCTGTAATAATGTAACTGCCGTTGAAAAAGTTTTGGAAAGCTTTTTTCAAAAGGGAAAAGCCATCATAGATGCGAGATCTTTTAAGATCCATAAGATAGAGGGAGATGACACTTCCCCTATACTATTAACAGTGCATTCAAGTGACATTAATATGCATCTGATCCTGCATATCCTCTTTTTTGTTGTAAGAGGTACTGATATTAAAAAAGCCACAAATAAAATGCAGGGGCAGTGGAAAACAGTTTTTGTCTGGCTTGGTCATCAATACAACACCTACGACCCACCGAAGGCTGATAAGCTAGGGAAAGACACAATAACTGTCTCTAGACTTGCGTCTTGTTTCCCTTTCGTTGTTTGCTGGTTCATGGCCAAGGGAATTGGGAAGGCTTACATCGATGTCACTTTTCTGAATAGGGCTACAGGTTATGAGATCCCACCTTTCCTACTCACTAACATGTTTGCGGGATTGGTACCTAAGGAACCAATAGGAGAAATAATGATGCCATTCGTACGAGTGTATCATTATTTTTTGGATACCGTCCTGCACAACAAGAAACCCAAGTCCATGGATAAAGTAAAAAAGGAGGCTGAAACCTACTCTAACGCTGCTAGATCGTCATCCTTTATCTCTGATGAAGCTAGGGTGTTCTATCTGATTAAGCTTGGAGTGTTAAAGACTAAAGACACTTTAGATGATGTCTTCAAATCTATATTTGAGACTGGTAGTCTAATATGGGGTGATATTACAACAGCCTCAGATAAAAATAGTCTCAATGTGGCTCTCAAAGCTAGAATTAAGGCTGGTAATCCTATACCTGTTGCGAAAGCTTATGAGTTAGACGTTTATAGCATCGTGGGCAATGATGTTAAAAACATATTAACTACTCTAATCAGCGACCGGTATGTTTTCCCCTTTGATGGAATACGAAGCAGCGTGAATTGCATCAGAGCAATCAAAAGAATAGAGGCAATGGATGACAATTTTGAAAAAATCAAGGTTTTGCTAGAACTTGCATCTCTAGGTGAATCTCTGATTTGTATGATGATGATTTCATGCTTCTACACTCAAGCATCATATACTGCTGCTTTTGAAGCTTGCGATAAGTTCAAACCAACCTTGACCTGAATGCTAAGCTCTATGCATTCACCTTTGGTTGCAAGAGGGAATGGTGTCTTTAGATATAATGAAGCCGCTACCTTTGACTCCCTTGCCACCATAGTCATATCTGGTGATGAACATGTGCCAGAGACACTGAAGAGAGTTGTTGATAATGCTCGGAGGAGGGAAGAAGAAGAAAACGCTCGAGCTTTATCGCCACAACAAAAATTTTCATCAGGAGGGCCCCATGATCCTATTGCCTAGGTATCCCTCGACATTCACATACTTTGTGATTCCATTTTATGATTCTATCTTTATGTTAACAGTTTCATTTAATATTTACTTTACAATTTTTTAACATTCGTATCCAGCTGAAGACTCTGACGATTTTCTCATAACTAGAAATATGCTCGTGATACCAAGTGAAATTCTTAACGAAACTTGAAAATAATGAAGTAATATTCTTCTTCTTCTCGCCATTTATGATATCTTCGTCACCAACGTAATTTTGTGAAGGCCATAAATCTGACGAATTTTTGAGCCACAGAGGACCCTCCCACCATTTGCAATCCATCAAAAATTGTGGTGAACAACCACGTGAAGGAAGATCTGCAGGATTCTTATCACCTGGAACGTGGTGCCATGCATCAATTTTTGTCAAACTCCGGATTTCAAGTACTCTATTCCATACAAATGGCTTCCATTGATCGTCCCTCTTGATCCATTGTAAAACAGTCGTTGAATCTGTCCACCAATAAACTGGTATATCAGGATCAAAATTTTCAAGTACGGTATTTGACAATCTGGCTGCAATCGTAGCCGCCAACAATTCCAAACGAGGAATTGACAATTTTTGTTTCACTGGAGAAACCCTAGATTTAGCCTGTATCAACTGCACTTCCACTCCCAGGCTTGATTCTGATCTCAAGAATATTACAGTTGCATTTATGCATATTGACTAGCATCGCAAAAAACATGTATTGTCCAATAGCTATCTTTTTGCGACGATGTCACGAACCATCTAGGAATTCTCAGACTCGATAAATTTGACAAATCTCGTACCCAAGCCAAGAAACTGTTCTTGATTTCTTCTTCTACCTCAACATCCCATTCAGTTTGAGATTTCCAAGTTTTCTGTAGAAGTAGTTTGGGACATAGGGAAATTGGACAACTGAAACCAATTGGATCAAAAATTTTATGGGCCGCAGACAAAATTGTTCTCTTTGTTATACAATCTGTTTTAATATCTTTGAACCATTCGAATGTCAAATCTAGAGTATCCAAATTTCTGTTCCAACTGAGACCTAAGACAAGAGAAACGTCATCTGCAACTAGAGAGTCATTAAGTACTGTATGTTCCCAGCCTCTCAAGTCGAATTTAGCATCTGCAAATAATCTAGAAGATACATCAATGAACTGTTGTAATTCTTCTTCGCTACCAACGCTGGTTACACAGTTATCCACATAAAAACTCTTCAGCAACTTGACGATGATTGATTGTACACCAGTATCGTTATTATGAATTTCTTCGAGAGCATGTCGCAAATGATATTCTATTACTGCTCCTAGTAGAAATGGACTGCAGGTTACCCCAAAGACTACTCTGGCATGTCGGTGAATTCTCAGTTCTTGCTGTTCATCATGCCACAGAAAATGTAAAAAATCAAGATCGTGTTTTGCTAAACTTATCTGCAGAAAAGCTTTCCTTATATCTGAAATTACTCCAATCTTTTCCATACGAAATTTTATAAGAATGGAGGGTATCAATTCAATGAAATTTATCCCTTTCTCAAGACACTGATTTAGACTAGGACTGTTTTTCTCTCTGGCAGACGCATCGAATACTGGTCTGATCATCGTTGTAGCACTATTAGCTTTGATAACGTGTCGATGTGGAAGATAATGTCCTACACAGTCTAAATCAGTTTCAAGAACTTCTTCGATGATATTCTCTTTCGATCATTCTGTGAAAACTTGATTATAATCTGCCAAATATCCGTCTGAGCGGAATTTCTTCAAAAGACCATCTAGCCGTCTTGATGCCAGAGATAGATTACTAGGTAGAGGGGGGTGTCCTTCTATCCAGGGCAAGTGGACTTCATATCTACCGTCTTCTTGTCTACGAACAGTTTCTAAAAAATGGTTTAGGACCTTTTTCTCCATATCTTGTCTTGATTTTCGCTCTATTGGATCAGTAATTCCGAGAACATCGAGGCTCCACATGTCAGATATAACTTCATTACAACTCAGCATAGAAGATACAACCAACATCGACGAAGTTGAGCTCTCACACTTAGTATTCTTGACTTTACCCATTAGGGTCCATCCTAATAGGGTCTGAAGAGCAACTAGACCACAATCTAACTCGAATCTTTTTCCAGTAAGTAATTTTCCCGCTATATCAGCACCGATAAGAACATCTATCGGACCGTCTGTCGTATCTGTTATCTCAATGTTCAGGGAACGGAGTTCTTCCATCCAAATGCCTTTTTTAACGGCAGTTACATTATTACAGATAATTGGTTGATCTAATGCTTCAAAATTACAAATATAACCATCCTGTATACTGCTCATATGAATTCGATAGCAGAAATGACGGACAACATCGGTCTTGGAACCACCAAAAAGGGCATGCACCATATTTTCTTCACCAATTGGTTCATATCCCATTTCATTAGCGATAGATCTTGTAATGTATGATCTTTGTGAGCCAGTATCGAATATCACTCTAACAATTCGTGATCCATTGTTCCCATTTATTCGAACAAGTAAAGTTTGGAGAAAAACTTGGGTATAAGTATTATTCGATAACGAATTTTCCACAGTAATAGGTTTCATGGAAGAAGTTATAGATGCTGCTTCGTCTGATTTTGGACACATAAGATCAGTATGTCTACCTTTACACACGGTACATGACAATTTAACTCTACATCGCCTAGCAATATGACCATGTTCCAGGCATAGATGACAACAGCCTTTCTCTACCAATTTCTTCTTCCGTTCTGACATAGGCCACTTTACTGCTTCAGTGCAAGCTTCACTTTCATGGGAAAATGTTCCACAAAAACTACATTGTTTCCGAACAGGAACATTGTTATTATTCATCAATCCAGATGCAGTCAGCAATATAGGTCGATTGGTAGGTTCTAACTTCTTTCTTGTTTTGTTTTGCAAATCAAAACCCGAAACTGCTAGCGAAATTCGTTCTTCGTTTTCTACTTCTTTCTTGAGGAATCCCATGATACTGTCTAAACGTGTTTTCAAATTGGAATCAGGATTACATGTACTACTTCGTTGCCATACTCGTATCAATTCCTCAGGAAGACACGATTCAACTAACGGGAACAACATGGCCGCGCAAGTCTCTGATGTAACATGTAGTTTCTCCAATGATCGCAATTGGGTTTCCAACTTATCATAAAGACAGCTCAAATTATTCTTACTGGGAAGATTATTCAATACCAACTTGAGTATCTCTCGAACATAATATTCAACTAGAAGGTCCTTTCTACCGAATCTGCTTTGAAGACTATCTATCACCTTGGGATAATTCTCTTTACTCGGTGGATAACTCTCCACTAACTGACGGGCTCGTGAATTTGGAATAGTTGCCTGAATTAAGTATTGATACTTGTCTTCAGCCTCAATATCTTCATCGCCATGTATTCTTATGAATTGGCTCCAGAAAGTAAGCCAATCTTTTATATCACCACTAAATTTCTCAAATTCTATAGTGGGTTACTTCAGCTTACGTCGTGATTTACTCTGACTGGAACACTGAGAACGAATGCTGTGGACATCATCAGATTCCTTGTGCAGAAAACCTTCCGCTCTAATTTTCAGTTTGTGATAACGTGCTGTATACTCATCAGCTAAGGAAATCTCGACATTGAGCGAGTCGTCAACATCTTCAGATGGTGATATGTTATCTACCAACTGTCTACTAAGGTTGCTGACAGTATCCAACTTTTGATCGAATAGTCGAAGATTACCTTGAACTTCCACAATATCCAACTCATCAGTCGTGAGCATCATCAGAAGCGAATCATATACACGATCGAAAGAAGCTCTTTGTGCTACGAGAGCCTTCTTCACCTTCTCCATATTCTATCACTGAGAACAGTCCTGTCACGGTCGCCAAATGTTAAAAAACTTCTACAAGGACACCTACCCGGTGACTGAGAACGTCTGGTATGGAGAAGATGTCTAATTTCCCTTCAAATCGATATCTTTTTAATAAGATAGAATTCTGACAAACTCAAAATATTTTCAAAATTCTTTACTGTCAACTTGATATATATATTATACAACATGTTCAAAACTATCAAAATAAATATTTCTTCAATTTCTCAACACCCCAGGCTGTGATTTCAGCAAGGTCTTCATTGACAGCATTGACCTGCCTGCGCCGTGAGTTCTTAGTTTCTTGAGAAGAAATGGGAATTCTGGAAGAGAACACAGTATGGAGGGTACTATCATCTGCAAAACTGTGGATGGGACAAGTTGTTACTCCCAACAGGTCATTGATATGAAGAAGGAATAATGTTGGTGCGTGTTGTCACGATATAGTAGAGTTGTTTCCACCATGTCACGATAAAAGGAGTTGATGCCACCATGTTGCGATATAATAGATGGTTATTCCCATCAATATCGATTCATAAGGGGTAATGCTTGGCTTGATAGTTTGCGAGAGATAATATTCGAATAGGCACTAATAGTTCAGGGGTAGCTGAAAGTTCGATACTATATTCAAACATAACAATATTTATTGAAGCATGAACCATTATGGGTAGTGATGATAAATATGAATAAACAACAATGAATATAAAGACCTAACAACCTAACAACTTACATTATAACGACCATCATGACGAGCTCTTGTCAAGACAAGAATAGCCCCAGACCAGACTAACTTCGGAACCCTCACATCCAATATTTATATAAATCAATTTATCGGATTCGCATGTTTCTCATGAGAGTTCCTTAGTTTTTATAATTCAATGTGAACGGATGATTTGATTAACGTTATGTTAATAAAACCCTCATGGTTCGAAATTTTTAATATACCGTATGTTCTTCTCGTGACAATATCTACAGAGAGAATGTCATGGAATGACATGAGGAAGAAAATGAGTTTAGTTTGTATAGAGGTTTACATATTAGGAGTGTAGTTACAAAAAGTGAATTAACATTTTTTTAGATGAATATTTGCGGTATGTTATATAATAATCTGGATCATTGATGATTTTAACGAGTAGTAATTGGTGCATGGAATAAATATCTTGTATCATTCACATGTGTTTCTCAATTTATATACCATGAAATATCTACAGAAAACAAACATCTTGGAAGAATTCTTAAACTATTTTCGTGGCTGTACTTTGTGGGTCTAATGTTAAACATCAGGTATAAAGAACGAAGACATTCATGACACAAAGTTTAGATAAATATTCGAAAACCTTGTGCATAACAGATACAAAAAGGGTCTATGGCTGGTGAGCAGGTAGAAAGGTATGCCTACATCTGCCGATATAAAATTCTCGGTAATGCTACGATACAGAGTCGATCGATGTTTGAAGAGAGCAGGCTATATAGCTTGCTTCGCGTTTGAGAGAGATGGAGTGGGAGATGTGACGCTTTCTTGCCACTCTCCGGAGGAGCGTTGGTCAGTCTTAGCTATTCTATCTGTGCATCTTTCCGGTAACTTCTCGTCAATTATCCAATTACGTTCATCATGTCTTCAGTGTGGAATGCAACATTCGATGAGGCAGCTGAAGAGGCGTTCTTGAAGAACTTCATCGAAGAGGAATGGCCAAAGTTTCCCGAAATGTGCCTCGACGACTTAAGGAAAGAAGGCTACATGGATCGTCCGCCGAAAGCCGTGTCTTCATTTGGAAACGATGTCGGGGTACCGTCTTCATCGTCATCCTCAATTAAAATGGTATCACCCTCGACGCCACTTATCGAAGAAGGAGCCCGTTCCTAGAAAGTGGGAGAAAGTATTATACCAACGGAGGTGACACCCACTGAAAAAAATAAAGGCCCGAATCGTTTCCTGAAGAAGGAGAAAAAAAAAGACATCGAAGCAACCTAAGACCGAAAAATCGCCCAAGCGGCTTGGGACTAGGAGGACATTGAAACCCATGAACGTTCTTTCGAATATAGTCATCAAGAAGGCGGGTACAGTAGAAGAAGAACCAGAAGCTGGGCCATCACGTTCGCCATCTTCTAAGCGTGCCAAAGTCAATAAGCCCACATTGTTGAGAAAAGTGTTGGAAAAAGTAACTCCGACACCAGTACAACCAGTCTCAATAGCCGCTACACTTCCCGTTCCCGGAACATCTGAGCCGGCGAAACAAAGATCAATCGCCGCTCCACGTCCTATTCCGATAAAAATTAGATTAGAGTCCAGAAAATTGAAAAATTTGTATCTCCATCAACATCAGGGATACTCGAAGGTACTTGAAGGAAGTAAAATTGCGAATTAGGACCGCTTCTAACTGTCGGCAGAAAGTAATGGAGGATGCCAGGAAATATAACAGTGAATACTTGGAAGCGAAACGGGAAGTTAATGCCATCATCGAACAACACCGTGGATTTGATAAAAGTAAGTAGTTAAACTATGACAGCCTCACTATAGGAATAGGGCAAAACCATCTGTTAGAGAGAGAAACTTGAAAGCCAATGCGTCAGAGAGAGAGACAGAGTGATAGTGACGTCACACCATCATCGTCGGAATGAATTATTAAATTTAAAAAAAAGCTGTCGCCGCTGGGTATCGAACCCACGGCCCTCGAGTTATGAGGCGGCAATACTCGCATTACGCTACCAAGCGTCCTAGAAATTGCAGTATGATACTGATATACAAACAGGATGTTTTTATCTGACATGTTGTTGGAAAATAATATCATAAATAGATTTGAGTTGGAACGTTGATCGCATTTTCGATTTGTGGTGTTGCCATAGTTGCCATATAATAATACTAACATCCCCGATTTTCATAGTGAATAAAGAAGAAAATATGTCTATATACTGGGTGTGTATTGCATTCCGGTGGAATAGAACGGAAAAAACATATTCCATTGCCTAATAAAGGGGGAATTTTTTTATAGAGGCATTCCAAATAATGTTAGCTTGTCCATATTATATTATGTGAATCCTTACATTTGACGTTTGACAGATGACGTATGACATGAGACGTTTGAGAGAGATGACGTATGGGGTGAAAGGATACGAAAACAATGAGGAAATATTATAGTTAACTATTTATTGAAGTAATGCATTTCTACAAAGATTACACGCTTCTTGAGAAGATGGCGGGCCGTCCACATGATCACGCCTATCGGGACGGTTATAATGAACGAAACACGGCAGCTTGATTTGTAGGTTGAAATTCCTACAGTATTCTTGAGGAAGTTTATGCCACACTTCCAAAAGGCTACAAGCATCAGCATATTCAATGAGACATTCAATAGGAATGTGCTGTAATTCTTGTTTAGTTAATTTCGTTAAAGTTATAGTGGGAGATTTCAGAAACTCCAAGAGCACAGCTACTTCAGACTTCATAATATTTTTTAGCAGAGTTGATAAGAGAGAGAAAAAAAAGTGGATGCTTCTAGTTTCACGTCAATTCGTAGACTGATGATGAAATGAAAACAGACTCAACATCCAAACAGTTCCATTGATGAATGACATAAATATTCTAGACCAATTCCAGAATTAATATACTGTAGAAATGAAAAAATAAAACAGAGAGGCTGAAACTATAATATTTTTTTTATTTTGGCAATATATTACATAACCAATTGTATATAGTATCGACGTTTCGAAGACTGCACTGGAACTTTTCACCATGGAAATGATTCATGCAAGGTGGAATGGCCTGTTGAAACGTTATTGGTTGCCACCACGAATCATCAAAATCTTCCAAATTCACGATGCGACTGTCAATCTCCAACTCTGCACATTTTCGCTGCAGAAACTGGATCTTCTGATGGCCTCTAACGTAGATAATATTCGTCTGCTGCAGGTTATCTCGTAGTATTCGATCCAACTCATTCAAATCCACATAACCGCTGGAATATTTCAAGCCATGAACATAGCGTTCCACAGAATTTGCCATCTTTCTATCTTCTCTGCTCAAACAAGAAAACTTCACAGATGGCTTAAATAGAAAATGACTCATCTTTTTGCCAATGCGGATGGTCATCTCTTTTGGAATGAATTCATCCACGACAAGGAACCCTTGAATGTCAACCAATGCGATCTCCATGACTCTCCGAAGCAAACTGACGTCTGACTGAGACAGCAACACAGACATCTCGCTGCTAGGCAATATTTCGAACAATTTCGCTGAGTGGGAGGTGTTCCATGATTTGATCGTGAACGATGATGCAATAGGCTTTGGTGTCGGCAGGGAAGCCAGTAGTCGCTTCAATATCCAACTTGATGTCAATTGTGGACGACTTCAAACCTAGATGTCGCCTTGAGCAATCGATAACAAACATCGGTCTGGTTTTGAATTCATCGAAATTCACTAGAGAGCGCTTCTGTGAACAGTTATGGTAGCTCTTGTTGAACTCTGTATAGTTGAAGTGGGCATCAGCATATTGGTCCTTGGAAAAGTCCAATTGCATTCGTTCTTGTGGATAATAGTCACTATTCAGAGCCAATCTTATGGATTTTATGTTGGCATTATCGAACAAGGTCACATCTTCATGTATGTTATCAGATTTTTTCGTTTGGAAAAATACTATAACATATCTCGGGCTTTCTAACGCCGAACACGTCTTGACCGACCAAATTTCTATAGTGGATCCTTGCGTTAGTGCTGGAAGCTCGTGCAATTCCCATCTGCGGAACGGTATCAACATAGGTTCATCTGCCTTGATACGCGGCAATAGCTGCAACTTTATGTTATCGTTGGGTGTGAGATGTGGCACTTTCAAATTGATGCTTTCTATCTTGATTTTGGCAACGCTCTGAGTCTGAGTTGCTCCTGGTATAGCATTATTCACTCTCTCACCAACTTTTAAACAGTTGGCATCATTGCGAGCTCTCACCAAACGAATCGACTGCTTGCCCCACGTTGCCACTTGATGATCATTAAAGATAGAAAACAAATGTTTCAGTGGAATGTTCATGCTGAACGTGTTATCGGTGTTGAGGATCGGAACGTTAGGATAGTTCCAGCCTGCTATGGCTAGATGGCGCGAGTCTTCAGGTGTGTAACACAAGTATCCTCTCACAGTACTCGTTATTCCAGGATATCTGGCAGTGTCCAATTCTTTATTGCACAATTCATAGGTACAAGAATCAAAGAGATAGGCTCCAGCATTGTGGGTTAATGTACCAATACCACCTCCAGTCACCTCCAATTTACCCTTGATGGTAATGATGCCTTCGAACATGGCCAACCATGAATCTGCCTGATTGACTGTTATATCGATGACATCATTATTTTCAAATGATTTCACGTACGGGTAATAGGTACGCCAGTCCACTTTAGTGATGCTTTCGTCGAATCTGGGTTTGCGGAAAACGTCGAAAACGGGGGCTGACAACATTGTAGCCGAATGATTTTAGGAATAGAATATTAGATAATGTTAATGATTTTCTGCTGCTGTTGTTGTTGCTCTTAGACGACACGACTGCTTTCGTGTGTGGTGACAAGGGAACTGATGCTGATGATGGTGATGTTGGTAGATCGTTGTCTGATTTATAGGAGTAATCAAACACTAATACCATCTTGCAAGTTTCTTCAATTCCAATCTTATGATGATTTCTTCACCTCTGAAATTCACCACTCTGAAATCTTGGTCTAGAATTTGAAGCGTGATATTGGGCAACTCTCGCCCGCTTACGATAGGTAGGTAGATGAGGTTTTTGGGAGTCTCGTCTATTGCGTAACCAGGATCGACTGCAACTGCAAACTCGTAGATCGTATGTGATGGTCTATCGTTGTAGAGAGCTCCAGCAGTAACGTTGCTATCAATGTGAATGGTTCTCACTTTGGTAATGCTGACTGGCAAATCAGAACTGTGGACTTGTTGAGCATTCAACAATCTATTCGAAAATCCCAAGACTCGAGCTATGCTATCCTTTGGACGAAAATCAATGGCAAACTGTTTGCTCGAGATCTCGCACTTTAACGTATTATTGTTGGGTTTCAACGAAAATATCTCATCAACGTCCTTTGCACTCGATATACCCAATTCTTTTCGAATAAATGTTTCAATGTCAACAATGTCATATGAACCTTCGGGAATATCAATGATTTTTTCCACTTTGGCCTTATCATGTAAATAAAATTTGGATCCTTTGTCGATATTCGGTATACTGTTGTATGAATGGAATCCCAACAATGCCAAGCCGTAATCGGACTCTGGATCGAGTTGAAGTGGTGTAAGGAAATCTATGGAGAGCGTAGATGTACGACCCTTCAACGTCACTATCATAGACATGACTGATGTACAATGATTATGTTATGTTGCTTCATTAAAGAGGAATTCCAGACATAGGCGTCCACAATTGCTTTGTTTAAAATTTTGGTATTGATCGTTATTGTAGAGGATTTTTGTGTTGGCACCTAAATATTGAGCCAACTCTCTGGGTGGTTTCAAATTACCATAACTATCGAAATATAAGGCGTTTTTATTATTTTTTATGTAAGCTACCCAATGTGTGCCAGCATGATTGGAGGTATCTAAATTAAATAGTGCACATTCACGACGCCATGGACGGGAGGAAGGTAGAGTGTCCCGCATAAAAACACCATGAAAGTATGGTATTTTCAGTTGTTTGGCATACTTTATTACATCTTTATCGTATAGTGATCTATTGGGTAGCTTGTCTAGTAGTTTTTTGATTGTTTTTGTTTCTTCAAGTACAGTCCGAATCCTCTTGATGTTTTGCGTAAAAATAGGCCAGAACCTTGCTTTCCGATAGCCTTCATTGCTTTATTATGTCTTTGATCTTCTTCGAGCTTTTTCTTTGCATTTTTCGCATCAATGACTGTCTTTGCGACAGCTCCGGCTCCTCCAGCTAGAGATCCTAGGGCTCCCAAGGCAGCAAAGATTGGTATCAATGGTAGTATACCCCCACTGTGTGGAAGAGGTATGATTCTTGGTACTCTGATTCTTTTTTTACCGCCAGCCCTCTTGATTGCCATTCTGGCTGCACGAAGTGCTGTCAATGCAGATTTATTCAGACCACTTCCTGATGTTGTACTACCACCACCATCTGACTTTGATAGTACATTTTTTATGAATTTGATGATGTTTGATAGGGATTGGCGTGATACGAGACCCATGCCAAGTTTTCGTTTGACCTTCATTCCGGTGGTGACAAGCCAAGCAGCAGCCTTCTCTTTGAATTTAGCGTTCTTCGACTTGACTCTCTCCCACGCTCGATTTTCCAATATCCAATCAGCTTTGTGTCTGTCTTCTATTGAGGAATTTTGCGAGTAGGCGATATCGTGTTCTCGACACGCGTCGTCCAACGGATTGATGCCGGTGTCTTCTCTAGTAAGTCTCTTATCGAGTTTGGTGCCTGGACCACAAAATCTGTAGCCTGGAATCGATCAGAGAATTAAGCACACCCTCTCCGTGGTAGAGCAACATGAAGACTGATGTGTAGGCAGCTCGACTACTACTCTCATCAGATGATGGAGATCGTTCAACAAGAACGGACGTTGCCCATCGAGAATTTGGATGCAGTTCTGCCAATCAAGTCATCGGCGAATAGTAAACATGGAAAACTGCTTCCCCATTCGTTCAGAGCAATCTTCTGCGGACCAAGCGGATGTGGAAAGACCAATGCAATGCTTTCCCTGCTGTTCAATCCAAATGGCGCGAAATTCAAGAACGTTTACGTGTATTCAAAGTCGTTGTACCAACCGAAATATCAATTGCTGCAACAAGTGTTAGATTCGGTGAAAGGCGTTGGGTATTTTCCATTCAAAGAAAATGATGAAGTCATCAGTCCATCAGCAGCAAAAAATCATTCGATATTCATTTTTGATGATGTGTCATGTGACAAGCAACAAAAAATTCGAGAATATTTCTCAATGGGTAGACACAAGGACATTGACGTAGCATACCTATGCCAGACTTATTCTAAAATACCAAAGCAGCTGGTGTGCGACAACAGTAACCTGGTGGTGTTATTTCGACAGGACGAAATGAATCTGAAACATGTGTTTGATGAACATGTCTCACCAGACATGTCATTCGACCAATTCAAATCTCTGTGCTCGGAGTGTTGGAATGATTCATTATCAGGTCAACATGGAACGATGGTGATTGCCAAAACTTTTGACATGAATGCCGGTCGATATAGGAATGGTTTCGATGAATTTATAAAGCTGTGATGATGTCCTCAAAGAAGATGGCAGCAATCATTCATCATAATGAAGTCAACCGAGACGCATGATGACGTTGCTGATGCGCTACGTAAGAAAAAAATCAACGATCTAGGGAAATCAATCAGGAAGAAATATTTAGCTTTGAAATTGGGCAAATCTGAGGATGATGAAGCGCTACAAAAGATATTCCAACCATTGACAACTTCTTTGAAACAAATTGCCACCACGTCCAAGGTTATAGAAGAAAAAATCGATGGTACGACTCTGTCAAAAATCAAGCGAAGCAATCAGACTATACCGTTAGAGATGAAGAAGGAGATGAAGAAAGTGAAGACTAAGAAGGAGGAGGAGGAGGAGCAGGATCAGCAGCAGCAATCGGATTTTAATCAAACTAATTTCATACCTCTGGTAGATGTAGCTGATAATGTTGGACATGCTGAAGATGATGATGATGATGATGATGAATATGATAATGTTGATGATGAAGTTTTTGCGGAAAGTCAAAATATCTCATCGGCTGCGATACATGATTACATTGATCAGTATCCTGTGATGGCCCAAAAATATCTGACTGAATACTGGACAGAAGATGGGAATATCGATAGCGTTTATGGTCCCAAATATGATCCAGAAACATCGAAATGGTTCCTCAACGGAAAAGAAATTAATTTCCATCAAAGAACAGGAGATATACTTGTTGGTGGCTATCGATTCCGTGGCACCCCAGGCCTGTATCAATTGTTATTCTATAAGGATCCATCCTTTGCTGTAGATGATAAGGGCCCATACAAGCACATACTCACACTCACCAAAGCTCATCAGAATTCTCTGGGACGCATGAAGGGTTCCTCTCGATCTAAATACAAAGACATTATTCGTCCAATGTTCAGGTCCAATACCAGTGGTTTTGGTTTAAAGTTGACGTACAACACAGCGCCTATCGAATATATGTATTGGGATGATCCAAATGAATTGGTGGACAGATTGAAGTTACCCATTGCATCAGAGCAAGCTGGAAACACATCAAACGATAACGAAATCGTCGCCATCTTGAATGAATTAGAAGAGGCAGGCTTGATAACGCATGCGTAATACATACGTGACGAATGTGTGACGTTTCAAACTTGCTGTCAGTAACAAAATGAGTCTCGACAAATTCGGACGTGGATCTTTTCCACACGGTGCCCGCTCAGCAATGGTGACTGTCAGATCTGGATTTTCACATACTCCAACTGGTGACATTGACATTGGTCATTTGAAGATGTGTAACGTGCAACCTCCTACCGACGCCACTGATGTAGCAAACAAACATTATGTGGATAGTGCTATTTCAAAAATAAAGTCCGATTTTCAGATAGCTTTTAACAATTATACTGCAAACCACCGAGTAATTTTGGAAGAGAAAATGAGCAGATTTGAATTCGATGTGCTCATAAAAAAATTCAAGAAGGAAATCAATAAACTTGTGGAGGATACTTCCAGCACCACTGATGATATTAAAAAACATTTGGAGTCTATTGAAATAAACGTGGTGGAAAAAACAGATGAATTATCGCAGAAATTTAGCAAGTTGCAGCAAGGGGCCACGATGAGAATGGATAGTGTTGAACAATTACAGAATACTATCCAATCATCTTTCCAAGTTATTCTTCAGGTTCATTCGAAAGAATTGGAGACGTTGAAGAAACAACTCAAGGACGTTTCAGTGGAGATTAAATCTCTGAAAATACCCAAGATGTCATCGAGAGTATAGGACATCATCATATATCTCTCAGTCTTCCTTCAACATGCAAGAACATAGTTCAGAAAAAATCCAGGTCGTCAATGAATTACATAAACCTGCTAGGAAAAAATTCCCGAGACGTCGCATCATCATCAAAGGCTTGGATGATTTATGGCAAATGGATTTAGCCGAAATGCGACCTTATGCCTCTGTTAATAAGGATCACAAGCTGATAATGGTCGTGATTGATTGTTTTTCTAAGTACCTATGGACGCGACCGTTGAAATCAAAAACTGGTGCAGACATTGCTCGAGCATTTGCTGATATCCTATCGCATGCCAACAACAGAGTTCCCAAAAATTTGCAAACCGATCAAGGCACCGAATTCTACAACGAAAAGTTCCAAAGTCTAATGAAAAAGTTCTCCATCAACCATTACCATACGTACACCATAATGAAGGCTGCCATTGCTGAACGTGTTATACGAACATTGAAGGAAAGACTGTACAAATACTTTAGTTTGAATGGTTCATACCGTTGGATTGATGTCTTGCCCGAAATAACGAAAAATTATAATAACACGAAACATACGACTATTAGATGCAAACCTAGTGACATCACCAAAATCAACGAACAACAGATTCTCAAATCCACATACAATCACATCAAAATTACAGGAGTTCGAAAATTCAATGTCGGTGACATTGTGAGAATGAGCAAAGCCAAACATGTTTTCGAAAAGAATTATACACCGAATTGGACTACTGAACTATTTAAGATCGTCAAAGTTCGTATTACGAAACCTACTACGTATATTTTGGAGGATTTGCGTGGTACACCGATCAAAGGTGCCTTTTATCCTGAAGAACTGCAAAAAACTAAACAGTTAGATGTTTATCTAGTGGAAAAAATTTTAAGGATAAAGGGTAAAAAGGTGTTTGTCAAATGGCTGGGATTCGATGATACACACAACAGCTGGATCGATGCCACCAACAAATTATAATGCAAACATATGGAATACGAGCACAAATCAAGAAATATCTGAGGGGCCTTTCATGAATTCACTTTCACAGCGAAAAACTAACACATACCTCATCACTCTGATGTACTGTACACAGCAACAGCAGTGGGGGAGAGGAGTGGGGTATAAAAAGTGACAACATTCTCTTCATTCAGCGTCAGTTTAGTTTTCGAAATGTCTCATGATATTGGTTATGAAAGTAGTAGCCGCAGTGTTGAAATTCAGTTTGATGATGGCGATGATAGTAAAAGTAGTGGTGGTGGTGATGATGATGATGATTACAAGCAAACTCTCGATGACATTGATCGTTCTTTGAACAAGTATGAGGCTGTATCTCAACAGAAATTCGACGTTAAAGAAACATTAGCATGGTATGAAATCAAAGCTCAAAATGAAAATCCCTTGTTATTGATGGTCTTCCATACGCCCTGCTACGAAATTCGATGTGGCCTGAGTCCCACAAGAGAATTCAGCGCCTGTGTGATTCTGAAACAAAGGTTTTCACCGCGACAAATATCATTCAACACCTACGAGTGGGCATCAATAATAGATATATTGGGTGAAGTTAAACAAACCTTTTTTGGAGACAGCAGCAGCATCAGCAACGACAGCAGCAGCAGCAGCTACCCAGATGATCATGATCCTGTGGTGATAAAGTGCGGACACTTTGTGAAATTATATCAATTTATGGAAAGTGGTGTGAAGCAAGTTTCCATTTCCAAAGATGTCATCGATATGACGCTGAACGAACAGGACGTTGACAAAATTTTACAAACACACATGCATGTGGTATCTGATCGACTTGCCATGTTAAATGCTTTGGATTTCAATGATTATTATCTTAATGTTGCTGAAATTGCCAACACCTGGTTGAATGAAAATAAAACTATTTTAAGTCTCACTGAAATAATTGATGGATTTTGTCAAGCATCATCTCCAGAAAGCATTTATGCAAATGCTCTACGTGAATATTTATTTTACTATCATCCTTAAAATTGACCATTTCATAATGTAATGAATGTTTGAATTAAATAAAGCACAGAGATCAATAATATGTTTTTTAATTTCCGCATGAAAATCATCAACGCCACAAACAGCAATAAAGGAATATATATATATATATATACAGTATTTACAGTAATGAAAAAGTGATATAATACAAAGATCTCATGAAAAATTTAGAGAAGTGAAAAAAAAAGTTGTTTTTCATTTTATCATGTTCTTTAGGGAGATTATTTCAGAAAGATGGATATAGCAGCAGTCAAGGTTATAAACGAAATTAACAAAAATCAATATCCGAATCTTCATCATTAGAATCGATGAATCTATTGAAATCAGGGTGACCAAATGGATTCACACTTAGGTGTGGAGTGACATGTAAATCCATATCACATTTATACCTCTCTTTGAGTCCAAATAACAGTTGTCCAAAACCATTTTGGCACCACAAATTTTTATCACGATATAACATGTGTAAATCTTCTGTTTTGTAATATAGGTGGAAGTGGTCTCGAAGTATGTGCAGATTTATATTGATTTTATGCATTTCCAACACAAACATCAGAGATTTTAAGCAACTATGGCATAAAACCAAATTCAACTGTTTTATTGTATAAAAGTTTGTCCAAACGCAATAATATGATTCTCTATACTCTTGAGTCCAATCAGAGGTGAATAAAATTGCATTCCTCAAGCGACTCGTGTCAATTTCTCTCGTATATAACATGTTTTCTAATGAAACCAGTCTACATGATTCATCATTTTGAACATTCTCAACTATGTGGTTCCAACGAAAAAAACTATAACTTTTTATGATTTCCTTAACTAATGATCTAGGAATCAATTGCAATGCAATGGAATGATTCACAAAACTCGTTATATTTTTGATATTCTCGCAGATTACTTTCATGCTCAGTTCTTCCAATCGCAGAGGAGGAGACATGATCTGGAAAAGACATAACCAATCAGTATTTTCGAGTAGTATCACATGATTTCATCTAAGAACCGAAATAAAAAAAAAATTACTCTTTTGCATCCTGATGGCCCCAGGGCAACGTGTCAAAAGAACCTGGTATTAAATATCGCTTATCGTCATAAGGACTCAGAGCAACTTTCGATTGTTCAATGCTAAAAACATTGTGGGCATATGAACGGATACAGCGTTGGCACGTTGTTATCTGTTTAAACTCTTTCAAGCAAGCCAAATAGTCTTCGAAACCAATTTTATTCTTCACAATATTAGTTTTCACCCCTTTAGACTTTTTTACAACCTCACCTCCTTGTACTTTATAAGTATACATTTTCGAACGTAACCCTACAAAATGAGTTATGATTTTTCCATTGGCCTCATCCTTTAAAAATCCCAATTTTTTTTTATTTGCTTGAGGAATCCCATAATTATTATCCACAGCATATTCGGATGTATCAAATCTAGGAATATCGGTCTTTATCATTTCTGCATATACATCATTACACTTTAGTTCATATATAAAACTATCAGTATCCATGTACAGCAATTTGCAGTTTTCAATGGTCATTTTTGGAAGCATATAGTCATAATGGAAGTTGTACATGCATATTTTCGACAAATCCAAAATGGCCATGCCTACATACAGGGGTTTATTGAAGATGACTTCAACTTTCTGTAATTCCACAGCCATCAAGTTTTCCTCAAAAATTGTTCGGCTACGGAATTGCGGACTTGCAATGAGATTTTTGGCTCCGTAGCGTCCCTCCCACGACCTCACGAGTTTCACTAATCTATGTTTTCTAATGTTTTCCATGGTCTTTCCGAAAACAGCGTTATTCATTAGTTTGTATAAGTTTTTTTCAAAAGCATTTGTGGCTGCAGTCCTCAAATGAGTGTTCAGCTCAATGTAGGACCGCAGCCATAGAGACTGATGAAATTTCAAGATTTTGTGAATTTTCGTTAGTTTCAGACCGTTAGATAAACATTGTTTCAAATTTCTGTAATGTAAAATGTAGTCTTTTTTGTTGTAAAGGGTCGTCATCAATTTTGGCAATTTTGAGCTGGGTGGTATGCGATGTTCGGCAGCGAATGGAAAGTTTTTATGTTGGTTGTGTAACTCGCGGGGATATTCCATGTCCACTTGCAATATATACCCCTCGGGAGCGTTGTCTGCGATAGCCATAACATCAAAATTTTCAACGTCATCCACCCAAGAAAAACCTCCGAACGGTAAATATTCAGACATTGCCCATCCATATAGATTATTGACGTCCAAGTACATGAGATATTTTGATGGGTCTTTCTGATCAAAATCAGACATATGTAGATTGTTGGCCTCCGCGTACCGGCTGCTGCAAACTGAGATTCCACCTCGTATAGCCTTTTCAATGAACATAATTTTATCAACATCATTCAGTAATTCAAGTTTGCATTTGGTGTACTTCAACATTGCGTCCCAGGTATATCCAGGCATGGTATAGTACCATGCTGGATCTAACCCATGGGACGCAATACATTTCTTCCGAAAATTTTCAAACACATCGGCCAACAATAATACATCCGTCTTTAAATAAATGTCTGAATATGTTCCCAAGTCTGAAATTTTGAAAGCTGACCATACATTTTGAGCATGGGCGTACTGCTCTTCGGAAATGTGATGGTCATTCAATTTATTGTAAAAAGATTCTCTAGGTGGTAGTTTAGTGTCATTCATTTTTTCCAAACAATCGATGTAATCGTAGGGAAAGACGCCCTTCTTGGTGAGAAGGCTGAATGTTTCGTCATTCAAATAATTGAACTCTTTTTTTATGATTTTCAAGTCTTTTCGGTCCATTATTGACGATAATTTGTCTAGAGATGTTCCCATGAAGCGAAAAGAGTCAATAAATCGAAATTTAATGTCTGTGTCTTCGTCATATAAAGTGAATGAAATGTACTTTTCTTTGTTGATTGGAAGTATACTGATGCGACCCTTCTTGCTCAACTGTCTAATCATGAAATGTGAGTCATATCCGGTCAGATTGTGAAACACGATAGGCACTACAAACAATTTTCGAAAATTTACGTTGCATGGGGCTTGATGTGCCCACCCCCTGAACGCCCCTGTGAAATGGTCATGGTCAGATACGATAGTGTCTTTCTCTGTGAATGACTTTTCGCAAATATGACAAACTGAAGCCCCACACTTGTCCCGAGGAGGACAGTCAGTCATCGGCACAATTGTTTTAATTTTTGATAGCACCATTTCAGCTATTCTGACCATTTCACAGGAAAACCAATCCATACAATCATTTCCCCGATGGCTGCTAAAGAAGGACAGAGAGTCATCATATGCACATTTCAAATAATACCCTGCGCTGTATGCAACATGTTTTTGGTATTTGACAGTTTTGGATGAAACCATATCATCAATATTTTCCAATTGACATTCAAAGTCGGCATAAATAACGAAAGGAGCAGTCTGTTTATATGTGAAATTTTTGAATTCTATGTGATCGTATTTTGGAAAAGAGATTTTACATTGATTCAATTGAGAACAAAGCACCTCATGATCTTTCAATTTTTCCTCACTATGAAAATAATTCATGCATCTATCGCATATAAATTTTTTACCATCATGTTTATTGAGTTGATTCGATAATAATCGAGATAAATCTTGGACTAAACAATAATGGTATTTGATGTCAGAATCATTTTCATCAATCGGAAGGGCATCATAATCATTGATTTTTGGAAAGTACTCATTTTGTATTAGCAATAAATTGACATGTTTATCTAGTTTATTTTTTGTAAGCTTGGCTGGTGCAACAGTATAGAATGATAGTTCCTTCACTATGTTCAACTCTTATGTGTATACGTTCACAAATATTTCATTGGTTTTTTCAAATTTTGGAATTTGGCTAAAAGCCATAGGTGCATCTAGATCTTCTGTTTTCAGAACTGTCGTGTAAAATGGATATGAAGAAGTGAGCTCTCTATTCGTTTTTGCTGGATACAATGCGCTTATGATTGACCAATAGAAACATGCTGAGTCTGTATTCTTTATATTTAAGCATGCTCTCTTTTTGGAAATTTCTTTTGGTAGTTTAATAAAGGATGAGCCATTTCCCATTTCAAATTTATTAATATTTATTTCCATCGATACTATTTTACGCAAAGCCCATCCAGAGTCACGTTCTTGAAATTCACTTAGTTTATTGAAAATTTTGTCACGAACATTATCACAAAACCATCGCTGTAAATCCGTCGATACGTCCACAATTTCATTCTTAGTATTGAAGTATTTCAAATCTGTAATTTCTTCATCTTTGTTTGATTTTTTGACAAATTCTCCACAAAAATTAGCGTTGACTTTAATCATTGAAAATTCCTTCAATATCTTTTTGATTTTAATTTTGAATAGGATGAATGCATCTACGAAAAATTGTTCCAAGTCCTTGTGCACCAAATTTATAATGATTCCTGTTCTGATTCTACTCGAAAAACCTGATGTTACATTTCTCCACTGCACTCTATTTTTTAATTTAGGTTCCCAACCTCCGACCTCTAAACCACGATGTCTATTTTGGATGATATTCCGAAAATGTTTGAAATGGCCCATATTCGTTTGAAGCTTCCTCAATACCCCTATGGACGAATCATTCTTGCGAATTTCCTTGTTACATAATCTTATATATGTCCTCAAACGATTCAACCAAATTTTTTCATCTCTACTAGTGAAGTTGTCAAACAAAATTTTTCTCAATTTCCTAATAACGCTCACCAAATTATCAGATTTTTTTGCGATATCCATCTCTCAAAATATCTCACCAAAAAAAAAATTAAAAAACAACTAACTTTTTTTAGTTCTCTACAATTTCGAACGACGCTGCTGGATTGGTCTTTCCAGTTTTAACCTCCCCTCGGAACACCAGAGAGTATTTTCCACTCAAAAACACTTCGATGTGCGGTGAATATAGGGCTGTGACCCTATTTGGTAGAAATATGACGGCCTCCTCCAGCTCCAACAAAACTGCCTTCCCAAATTTGGAATGAACAACTTTGGCTGACTTTATTGGTTGGGGTTGTCCTATGGGCAGTTCGGAGAGCTTCTTGATGGGCTTCCTCTCCTCAATCAGTGAAGCTTCATTCAATTTTGTGAGATCCATCTGGTGAAAAGAAGAAGAAGGAAAAAAACATCAACATGCTAATACAATAAAATGCAAAGAGAAGCAATTCGGGATTGAGCCTTAAACACTTGAATAAATTAATCCTAAAAACTCAAAATAATATGAAAAATGCAGATAATAGAGGATCGAGCATGAAAAATTACCACTTGGATGATTTATTTACGATAAAACTCAAAATAGAATGAAAAAAAGGGCTAATTTCGGAATAATCGGTGACACTTGGCTAAATTATTTTGAAAAACTTTGAATATAATAGAAAAGGTCTATAATATATGTGAATAGAAATGAACACTTGAATAAAAAAAAGGTACTTACTGTTATTGATTGTAGTATTTGCACACAAGACAAAAAAAAACGATAATTATTGGTGGTGATGATATTGGCAGGAGCCCAGGCTGAGTTGGTTCGCGTCTGCTGGCTTCCACAACTGGAGACTGAATGGTTATGCTGCAAGTCTCTCGCTTTATATTCTGAACGGGTGGGTAGAGATAAAGCATGTGACTTGTTAATTATTGAAAAACATGAATGCATAAACTGATAACCGTTAGTGATATGGAATGTTATAGTTATGCGCTCCAGAATGAATAAATTTGTTGATAATAATATCTAACCTCATTTGCAGGAATTTTTCGAGCTTATCTAAACTATTGGAAAACACATTCGACGACATTTGCATGAAGTATTCAGGGTTATCTGAATTGTTGGAATAAACAGTCAACCGCATTTGCATGAAGTATTCAACGTTATCTGAATTGTTGGAAAAAACAAATGACCGCATTTACAGCAAGCTTCCAACCTAATCAGTAATGTTTTTTTTCATTTGAATCAGAAATACGCAAAACAGATTATAAATGTTTGTTATTTATTTCTCTCTCAAGAATTGTACTATATTAATCGAGATTATTGCAACTAGAAATGCTAAATTGGTATATGATAAAATGTGTAATGTTACAAAGGATTTTTCTTGATCAACTAGGGCCGTTGGTGCTGAAGGTGGTGGTGGGGGCAATGTTGTTCCTGGATCTTCAAAAAACTGCCATTCTCCTAAATCTCCAAAGGTTCTATCGTCGAAAATCAATCGAATTTTATATTTCGTCTCGTTTTTCGGCACTTCCATTGAGAACACTTCCATCTGACCATCATTGATAAATCCTCTTCTCATAACCATCCACTGGCATGGTTCTTTATTGTAACAAATCCCAGCTTCTCTAACCTTATTCGGTACATTCACATACAACATATTATTCAGGATTGCTGTGAGTATTATGAAATTCCTGTGCAGAATGGCCATTATTCTGATGTGAGGGGGATGGAGATGTGGGTTCAATGCGTCGTAATGGGTATCTTGTTTGAGGTATATTACGTTTTTTTGTTAAAACTGTATCCCAAACACTCAAATTTACCAAATTTCTCAAGACCTTTTCCTTTTCTTCGTAAAATTCAATATCTTTGGCCAGTTCTCGCACCAATCTGCAAAATTCTTCAAGTCTGCGTCTGTACTCTTCAGAAGACATATTGGTACTGATTATTTTTGAGTATTACATCTTCCATATCTCGACAGAAAATGACATACGTCATCTGCCAAACGTCAAATGTCAGCTATCATAAGGTACACCAAATTTTTCGACCTCATAATGAAAAGGATTCACCCCCACATAATAACAATATTTGGAATGCCTCTATAAAAAAATTCCCCCTTTATTAGGCAATGGAATATGTTTTTTCCGTTCTATTCCACCGGAATGCAATACACACCCAGTATATAGACATATTTTCTTCTTTATTCACTATGAAAATCGGGGATGTTAGTATTATTATATGGCAACTATGGCAACACCACAAATCGAAAATGCGATCAACGTTCCAACTCAAATCTATTTATGATATTATTTTCCAACAACATGTCAGATAAAAACATCCTGTTTGTATATCAGTATCATACTGCAATTTCTAGGACGCTTGGTAGCGTAATGCGAGTATTGCCGCCTCATAACTCGAGGGCCGTGGGTTCGATACCCAGCGGCGACAGCTTTTTTTTAAATTTAATAATTCATTCCGACGATGATGGTGTGACGTCACTATCACTCTGTCTCTCTCTCTGACGCATTGGCTTTCAAGTTTCTCTCTCTAACACATGGTTTTGCCCTATTCCTATAGTGAGGCTGTCATAGTTTAACTACTAAAGTATTGAGGCGCAATTGTCTGAACTGAAGAGGCAGGAGTCGGCTTTGATGAGGGAAAATGAAAAGCGACATAGGGAGTTCGAGGAACTTCAGAAAGCACGCGAACGACAAGTGAATATGTGTGTAACGTCGCTACAAAATGTTGATTAGGCCAAAGAGAAACACCAGCAGACAAAATTAAGTGGTTCCAAGACTTGGTTGTTTCTATTGAAAATAAATAGATATAATCATCTTTTCAATTCCATGAACTGAGTTTCGCTCTCCCTCTAGAGCTCTAATCCCTCAACCTACAATGTCCAACCCATCACCCCACCACCTCTATCACCAACTCCCAACACAAGCATCGGCCCTGCCCCCCCTTCCTTTCTCCACCACCACTACCACTAGTAGTAGCTGGGTATTTATAAATTGGGTATTTACCTTCAGGATAAATACCTACCCAAAAGTGGGTATATATCCTGAGGGTATTTATTCGAGTTAGTACGTTCTAAGTTATTTGTATTTGTTCCTCACATGAAGAATAGAATTGGTCTTTTATTTTTCAAGTTGTACATTATTTTATTGTTCCTTACACAAGACCACTGGGAGTGAGATCATGAAAAGTTGTTCAATCTTAACATTGTTTTCGTCAAAGTTTTCGGTTGTTTAGAAGGTGGTCAAATTGAAAAACCTGTTTTGAGAAATTAGACTTGCAGAAATAGTTTGATAAAAATAGCAATTTTCCATGTTTTCTGTTGAAAAGTTCAAAAATATGAAATATAATAATAATGATAATAAATCGGCTTTATTAACGGAGTGGATACAAATTCTTAGTGTGCAACACTAATTTTGGCGAAGTCTAGCTGATAGCTACTCATACTCAACCAAATTAGGTCACAGGATATACTTTATATACATATACACATGTTACAATACAATGAGAAATCGTGAAACGAAACAAAAAAAAATCAATCTGAATTGCAGAAATACTTCTTAAGCTGGGCTGTTCCTCCAGGGGCGTAAGTGAATATGTGTTTTTTTATGTTTAGAAGTTTAAACTATTCAGGTAAAAGGTTATAAAGATGAATCGAATTGAATACAAATGATCTCTGAAACATGGAAGTGCGATGATGAGGCATAGTTAATTTGTTCATTTTTCTGATGTTCCTTGAGTGTACGTGATACGTGGAATAAACTCATAAATACCCAGCTTCTGGGTATTCACCTCGGTGAATACCCTGGGTATTTACCCTCAATCATATATACCCGGGTATCACCCATCACTGTGTTCTTTTTATGGATTTTATTATTTTTAATTTATTGTAATGGAGGTGAGAGCCCAGGTGGGTACCTATAATACTACTCAATATAAACATATTATTTCAGTCAGGAACAAACCTACGTATCTATGTTCAGGCACTCAGATATTATACCTATTAAACCTATAGGTAGGAAGTTTATGTAGGTAGGTATATATAACTTTATTATTCAATAACCATTTATTCTAAGATAATTATTCTTAGCTATTGTTAATAAAGCACGAGAATGAGTATAATCATTATGAGTTAGCTGCATGTAGACTAATTTCCTCATAGTGAGTGTCTTGGTAACCACAAAAATATTCGTTGCAAACATTATATTTTCCACTACCTACCTATACCAGTCAAATGATCTGAGAAGATTTTGACAGGTAGTGTGCCTTTCAAAAATGAAAATTGATATCTCATGTATCTGTTAGATTAGAGCCCACCTTTGATTAGAGGTAGTTGAGTGTCCGTTATTTCTTTCAGCAATGTAAACTTGCATCAAAATTTGTATCTTGAAGAGTCTCATTGAAGTACAGGTATAGGGGGTAGATAATAATAATAATAATAATAATAAAGTTTATTTCGAAGTTCGCCAATTTAGTACATTACTTAAATATAAAATTTCCAACAAAATGCGAACTGCAAAAGGGAGATGACAGGCAGTCGTAACTGATATCTAGTGCCATCCCTGTTTAGGTTCGAGATAGCAGCATCTTTTATTGTATAAAACCCAGAAACAGAATATAATATAATAAAAAAGTTAACATCAAACCCAAGCATGACATGTAAATCATTGTAAAAATATATGTATAAATATTAATTTAATAATAAATTCTTATAGGCGAATCTGAAACCGGACAACGACAGACGCTTCCAATCATTACTTACATTATTGTATAGGCGAAAAATGTTGTAAGTGAATGATCGACGAAATATTGCAGTGCGATGAAAAGGAGGAGATAACATACCTCGATATCTCAGATTAAGATTGTGAACGTCGCTTCTATATGTAATTTTGTTATATAGATATGGAGGCGATTTATTTATAATAATTTTATGAAATAAACATGCTGAATGTAATTCCCGTCGCTTAATCATGGACATCCAATTCGCTTCACTCAATTTGTAACTTACTGGTTCAAATTTTCTGATTCCAAAAGTGAATCTCAAACAAGATTTTTGTACTCTTTCGATACGATTTATGTCCGTGTTATCAAGACACGGACCATACACTATATCACAGAAATTAAAATGACTCAATACAAGAGAATCTGTGAGTTTAAGTTTTAATGATTGAGAAATAATGTGTCTATGAGGATATAACAATTTTAAATTAGTATATGCCCTTTTTATACATTTACTAACATGCGATTTGAACCGCAGATCAGTGTCAAGTTCAAGCCCAAGATTTCTTGCAACATGAGTGCAAGGTAAATGATTTCCGTCAATTATAATGTCAATAACATCCTCAACTTTATTTTTATTTTTGCCGAATATAAGAACATTGGATTTCAGGGAGTTGATAGAGAGGAAATGCTTTTTGGAAATTTGTACAAGTTTTTCAAGTTCTTGGTTGATAACCAAATTAGCTAAATACAGATCAGAGTAAAAAAAAGAATATTTTATTTGTGTATCGTCAGCATAAAGATAAGCTTCAGTACGTTCTAAAACATTGACTATATTACATGTATATAATGAGAATAGCAATGGTCCCAAAATAGAACCTTGTGGTACACCACACTTTATAGGTTTCAAATTCGAATGTTTATCATCAACCGCAACGAATTGTAATCTATCTGACAAATAACTTTTAATTATTACAATGGAACTCTCAGAGAATCCCACATAGTGTAAAATGGCAAATAAAATTTCATGGTTGATTGTATCAAACGCCTTGGAATAATCAATTAGAATGAGGGCTGAGTTTTTTCCATCATCTATATCTTTGAGAATGTCATCAGTTATATCGAGTAATGCTGTTGTGCAGCTGAACCCGCTGCGAAAACCAGATTGCCTCTTTGGTAATATATTAAAAGCATAAATATGTAAAGTAATTTGATGTTTCATGATTTTCTCTAAGACTTTCGATAGGGTAGATAATATTGAGATTGGACGTAGTTCATTGAGATTTTCGACATTTTTCTTTTTGGGAAGTGGAATTACTTTGGAAATTTTCCACAAAGAAGGAAATATACTAGCAGAAAGACATGTATTCATAATATGTGTGACGGCAGGTAAGATTTGAGGGCAGCATAACAAAAGCATTTCAATATTAATGTCATCGGGACCAGTAGCTTTAGATTTTATATCTAAAAGATATTTATATACTATGTTCTCATGAACAGGTGTAAAGGAAAATAAAGTATCAAAGTTATCTTTAAAATTATTACTATAATATTGAACTAAATCAACATTCGGCGTTCCAATAGTGTTTGATGGAATAAGGAAATGGTTATTTATCAAATTCGGATCATTAAAATTATCAGGCAGACTATTATCAAGTTTATTGCGAGTTTTAACGTGAACATTTAAGTCTCTAAGTTTTTTCCATAAAGTTTTACTACTACTATTAGCTGTACAGAATTCCAAATAACTTTTTTTTTCATTGCGTATGGAGTTGGTCGTAAGATTTTTCCACCGTTTGTAATCTTCCCAATGATCAGGATTTTTTGATTTCTGGTACTTTTTTAATGCTTTGTCTCTCATAGACATCATCAGTCTTACATTGTCAGTTAGCCAAGGGGGTTTCTGTTTTTTTAATGTGATCTTTTTCAAAGGCGCTAACGTATCAAAAATATTCAAAATCAATTGATTGAAATATTCAATTTTTGCATTCACATCGTCAAAAAAAAGTATGTTGTCAAAAGGACATTCTGCAAGAAAATTTTGAAGCAGGTCATAGTCAATGCGCTTGAGGTTTCTAAATTCGAGTTTTTGATTATTATCAGGTTTCGCTTCCAGACCGATATTACAATATACTAATAGATGATCAGATACGTTATATACATCCATAGTACCACAACTGAGGCATTCATGATGATCAAA